CCCGTCTCTAAAAAAATTAGTCAAGGGTTGTAGCAGGTGCTTGTAGTCCCAAGTTGAAGCTACCCAGGAGGCTAAGGCAAGAGAATCACTTGAGTCCAAGAATTTGAGGTTGTTGTGAGCTGTGATGCTAAGTACTCTACTGAGGCCTGAAAAAGAGTGAGAATTCATCTCTAAAAAATAGCTGGACGTTGTGGTGGGCACCTGTAGTTCCAGCTGCTCCTGAGGCTGAGGCAATCCTCCCACCTCAACCTCCCAGAATGCTAGGATTATAGGCATGAGCCACTGTGCCTGGCCCAACCCCAATATTTTTTTTCTTTTCTTTTTTTTTGTAGAGACAGAGTCTCACTTTATTGCCCTTGGTAGAGTGCCATGGCATCACAGCTCACAGCAACCTCAAACTCCTGGGCTTAAGCAATTCTTTTGCCTCAGCCTCCCGAGTAGCTGGGACTACAGGCGCCCGCCACAACGCCCAGCTATTTTTTGGTTGCAGTTCGTCTGGGACGAGGTTTGAACCTGTCACCCTTGGTATATTGGGCCAACACCCTACTCACTGAGCGACAGGTGTCACCCAGTATTTTCTATCTTGTAAAAGGCTGGTACTTAACAAATGGTTGGCTGCTGAATGAATGAGCCATACTGACTATAAGGAGAGATTTTATTGAAATTAATCCATAAACTTCATCTCACACATGTTCCCCCTAAGATGGAATAGAAAACATAGGCTATTTCACATTTAGGCTATTTCATGTTCTTTTTTTTTTTTTTTTGAGACAGAGCCTCAAGCTGTCACCCTTAGGTAGAGTGCTGTGCCATCACAGCTCACAACAACCTCCAACTCTGGGCTTAAGTGATTCTCTTGCCTCTTTTTGGTTGTAGTTGTCATTGTTGCTTGTCAGGCCCGGGCTGGATTCAAACCTCCCAGCTCTAGTGTATGTAGCTGGCGCCTTAGCTGCTTGAGCTACAAGCAGCAAGCCTCATATTCTCCAAATAAAAAAAGCTAGTACTATAGCTAGCTCTTATAGTAGCCAGCATTGTGGAGGGCACCTATAGTCCCAGCTACTTGGGAGGCCAAGGGAAGAGAATCACTTGAACCCAAGAGTTTGAGGTTGCTGTGAGGTGTGACACAATGGCACTCTACCAATGATAAAAATAAATAAAGCTAGTACTATAAAAAAATAAGAAAAAGCTAGTACTATAATCAATGATAATTCTTAAAATTACCAAATAATTTAAAAAATAAAAGAGAAAATAAAATGAAGAGAAAATTTAAAAAGCTAGTACTATAATCAATGATAATTCTTAAATTACCAAATAATTAAGATACTCAGGCTGGACATGGTAACTCATTCCTCTAATCCCAGAACTTTGGGAGGCCAAAGCAGGAGGATCACTTGAAGCCAACAGTTCAAAACCAGCCTGGACAATGTAGAAAGATGCCATCTCTACAAAAAACAAAAAAATTAGCATGATTGCACATGCCTGTAGTCCTAGGTACTCAGTGGGCTGAGGTTAACCTAGAAGTTCAAGATAAATAGTAAGCTGTGATTGCAATACTATACTCTAACCTGGGCAACAATAATAACAAAGAAAAAGAAAAAGAAAATAGGGCGGCGCTTGTGGCTTAGTGGGTAGGGCAAGAGACAAGAGAACCAACCGCCTAAGCCCAAAAGCTAGAGGTTGCTGCGAGCTGTGATGCCACAGCACTCTACCAAAAGCAACAAAGTGAGACTTTGTCTCAAAAAAAAGTGTAAATTACCCATAAATTATGAATAGGCAAATGGATACACAAACTCTGATATAACCATACAGTGGAATACTACTCAACAATAAAAACAATTAACTACTTACTATGTAAACATGGATATATCCCAAAGACAGTATGTTGAGCAAAAGAAGTCAGAAACATGGCAGCGCCTGTAGCTCAGTGGTCATGGTGCCAGCCACATACCCTGAGGCTGGTGGGTATGAACCCTGCCCGGGCCTGTTGGACAACAATGACAACTACAATAACAACAAAACAGTAGCCAGGCATTGTGGAGGGCACCTATAGTCCCAGCTACTTGGGAGGCCAAGGCAAGAGAATCACTTAAACCCAAGAGATTGAGGTTGCTGTGAGGTGTGACACAACGGCACTCTACCAAGGGCAACATAGTGAGACTCTGTCTCAAAAAAAAAATTTTTTTTTATATATAAAATCATCTCAATGTCGATTACAGACATGAGTGTAAAACCTCAAACTATAAAAATACTAGAAGAAA